CAGCACTGGAGACAAAGGCACGCTTCCAGGTTTGCACAGCATCAGCCCTGAGCACCACCTGTCTGCAGCAGGGCCAGGATAGTGGACAGTGATAAGACAAGGAGGAATGGCTTTAAAGTGAGACAGGGGAGGTTTAGGTTGGATGTGAGGAGGAAGTTTTTCATGCAGAGGGCGGTGAGGCACTGGCACAGGTTGCCCAAGGAGGCTGTGGATGCCCCATCCCTGCAGGCATTGGAGGCCAGGCTGGATGTGGCTCTGGGCAGCCTGGGCTGCTGGTTGGCGACCTGCACACAGCAGGGGCTTGGAGCTGATGATCATTGTGGTCCTTTTCAATCCAGGCCATTCTATGACCAGCACCAGGACCCAGGCTGCAGGCAGGGGATGAGCAAAGCACAGCAGCTCATGGCTTGCAGAGGGGCTGCTGGCCCCAGGACAGCAAATGCCATCGGGAGGAGTTGGTTCTCAGAGCTGTTGCAGCCCCTGCAGCGGGTGTCAGCTGAGCCATGGTTAGTGCTGAGCAGCCTGGTTGGCAGCTCGGATGGATGGATTGCAGGCAGAGCAGCACGGGGAGGAAACCCCATTGTCACCAGGGCAGGATCTCAGTGTAGGGCAGGATCTCTGTACGGGGCAGGATCCCAATGTAGGGCAGAATCCCATTGTAGGGCAGGATCCCAGTGTAGGGCAGGATCCCATGTAGGGCAGGATCCCATGTGGGGCAGGATCTCAGTGTAGGGCAGGATATCTGTATGGGGCAGGATCCCATGTAGGGCAGGATCCCAATGTAGGGCAGGATCCCAGTGTAGGGCAGGATCCCACATGGGGCAGGATCCCAGTGTAGGGCAGGATCCCAATGTAGGGCAGGATCCCATGTAGGGCAGGATCCCATTGTAGGGCAGGATCCCAGTGTAGGGCAGGATCCCATGTGGGGCAGGATCCCATGTAGGGCAGGATCCCATGTGGGGCAGGATCCCATGTAGGGCAGGATCCCATTGTAGGGCAGGATCCTATGTTGGGCAGGATCCCATGTGGGGCAGGATCTCAGTGTAGGGCAGGATCTCTGTACGGGGCAGGATCCCACTTGGGGCAGGACCATATAGTGGGGTAGGATAACAGCATGGGGCAGGATCTCTGTGTGGGGCAGGATCCTGATTGGGGCTGGATCTCTGCATGGGACACGATGCCAGCATGGGGCAGGACCCCACGTGGGACACGATCCCTGAATGGGGGAGGATTCCAGTGTGGGGCAGGAAGGCTCAGTCTCTCCTTCCAGCCCCCTGGGGTGGAGGAGGACGTGGGCACAGCGTGCAGCAGAGGCTCCATTATACACCAGGGAATGGAGAAGCTCCTTGGCTGCTTAATAAACACTGCCACGGTCGTGTTTGTTTTATGCATAACATACAAGGCGTGCTGGCTGCTGTTCAGAAGGAGCTGAAGGATCCAGCAGCGATCTGCTGCTGCACAAGCAGGCAGAGAAAGGGGAGAAATGCACTGTGTGGGGCACTGGGTTGCCCCATGGCGTGGGGCAGAGGAGCAGGAACGCATTGAGGTGCTCCTGTTTGTGCCAATGGGAGATAAAGCAGAGCTGTGAGGCTCTTCTGGCCTTACCCTGTTGGGAGCATGGGTGGGAATGTGCCTGGATTGAGCCCGAACCTGGAGCAGCTGCACGGCTGACACGGGTCTCCATCAAGCAGGCATTAACATGAAATATGATTAAACTAATTAACATCCCTTAATTGAAATTGAGCCTGCTGAAAAAAAAAATAATAATAATAATAAAATAGACCAAACAAAAATGGTTGCGTCCTTTGAAACCCTTACACAACGTGTTATAAATGGAGCTCCGATATAATGGATGGAGGCTGCGGAGACATTTTGACTTAATAACTCCTTAATGATTAAAAAAACGAGTGCGCTGCAAAATCAATATGGCAGATATGAAGTGGATTGCAAATCTCGTAATTAATGCTTCCTCAATGCAGCTGCTGAAAAGGTTGGGGGGGGGTCACGGGGAATTTGGGCTGTCGTTCCGATCTCATGGTGCCCGTGCCAAGGCCACCCTCGGTCCTGGGGGTACTTTGGAACACGGTCGGTGCTTTGGCACTGGGAGAAGATGGGGAAGAGAAGGGAGGAGAAGGGAGGTCACAGAAAGCCTGAACTGTAGGGGTGGGAAGGAGCCGTCGCATCTCCCCCAGCCCAACCCCCCCCATTGCAGAGCAGAGGGGAGAAGCACCTTCCTGCCCTGCTGGCTGCGCTCTGTGCTGCGCACCCCAGGGTCCCATTGGCCACTTCAGCCATCAGGGCACACTGCTGGCTCACGGTCGACTTGTGGTCAACTGTTGGCCTCCTCTGAAAACCTCCTTTCCAGCAGCTCAGCCTCCAGTGTGTCAGAGCCATAGAATCGTAGAATGGCCTGGGTTGAACAGGCCCACAGTGCTCACCTTGTTCCAAGCCCCTGCCATGGGGAAGGTCTGCAAGACCAGGCTGCCCAGAGTTGCATCCAGCCTAGGCTGCGTCCTGATGCTGCTGTTGTTCCTCCCCAGGTGTAAAACCCTGCACTGCCCTGGCTGAACCCCACTGGATTCCTCTGCCCTCAGCTCTCCAAGCCCTGTGTGAGCACACGGTGCTCAGCCCCACAGGTTGGTGGGTGTGGGGCTGCTGTGTCCGAGATCCCATCGGCACCGGGCACGCTTTGCTGTGAGCAGCCTTAATGCTGATGTGTTCTTCATGCTGCTCGTGACAGTTTCTGAAAGCATAAAGGAGCTCTTCGGAGCTCTGGGCAGGTCTTTAATATCTCCTCACTGACTAAAGCATGATACCGGAGTGACATTTAGAAGCATTAGGAAGCAAGGGCAGTTATTTATTTCTTATGAAGGTGTTTTTTCCCTCGAGGGGTTGCGGTGTGGAGGACGAGGGCTGGGGGTGACCCAGTGCTCAGCAGCGCCTTCTGCTGCCGTATCCGAGCCCTCCTTTCCGCCAGCTACGCCGAGATGTGATCCGGGTTTGCTCGGTGACCTCCACTTGTAGGGAGGCGATGGATTTCCCCACCGCACCGAGCACTCCCTCCATCTGCATCCGCAGCCAGGAGTGCTGTGAGCAGCAGCGAGGCTGGGGCAGCCCCGCTGGGGGTATGGAGCACAGCCCACAGGGCGTGCAGGGGGAAGATGTGTGCAAAAAACAACCAACAGGGGCTGCAAACCCGGGGCGCGGGGCCGCAAGCACAAGGCACGGGGCGCAGACATTGGGTACAGGGTTGCAAATTTGAGACAGCGAGCTTCAGATTAGGGGCAGAGGCTGCAATCATTGTGAGCTGGGCGGCAAGCGTGAAGCAGGGTTGCGGTTTTCGGACACGGGGCTGCGGGATCGGGAGGGGCTGCAGCTCCGGGCCGCGTGGTGACGGTACCAGGGCAGCACTGAGCACCGCTGGAGCCGGGGCAGAGCTCAGCGGCGACGCTCGGAACCCGGAGCTGCTCCCGACGCGGGGGTGGCAGCGCGGGAGGCCCCGGTGCGGCCCCGAGCAGAGGGCGATGGCAGCTGCTAGGGCCGGGAGCGAAGCCCCGTCCGCGAGGTGCCCCCGGTGCTTCCAGCTCTGATTCCTCCCTGCACCGCCCGCATCCGCAGTGCCCCCCGCTGCGCTCCCCCAGGCTGCCCGGTAGAAGCGGCCGCGGGGGGGCGGTGCGGAGCATGGGCCCATCCCCCTCCCACCCCCATCCCCATCCCATCCAACCCCCTCCCATCCCATCACCATCCCATCCCTAATCCCATTCCCCTCCCACCCCCATCTCTATCCCATCCCATCCCCATCCCCATCCCCATCCCATCCCATCCCCATCCCATCCCATCCCATCCCATCCCATCCCATCCCATCCCATCCCATCCTATCCCATCCTACCCCATCCTCATCCCCATCTCCTCCCCCTCCCGTCCCATCCCCACCTGCATCCCCATCCCCCTCCCATTTCCCTCTCCACCCTGTCCTATCCCCACCCCATCCCATCCCTACTTGCATCCCCATCCCTATTCTAATCCTCATCCCCTCCCCTTACTGTCCCATCCCGTCCCCATATCCCCATTCCTATCCCCATCCCCATCCCCATCTCTATTCTCATCCCCTCCCCCATCCCATCCCCATATCCCCACCGCATTCCATCCCCATCCCCATCCCCTCCCGTCCCTTCCCCTCCCCTCCCCTCTCCTCTCATTCCACCCCATCCTATCCTCTCACCTCCCCATCCCATCCCCATATCCCCAATTCCATCACCATTCTCATCCCCATCCCCATCCCCATCCCCTTCCCCTTCCCCTTACTCTTCCCCCCCCATCCCATCCCATCCCATCCCATCCCATCCCACCCCACCCCATCCCACCCCACCCCATCCCACCCCATCCCATCCCACCTCACCCCATCCCACCCCACCCCATCCCATCCCATCCCATCCCATCCCATCCCATCCCATCCCATCCCATCCCATCCCATCCCATCCCATCCCATCCCATCCCATCCCATCCCATCCCATCCTGTCCCGTCCCGTCCCGTCCCGTCCCGTCTGCATCCCGATCCCCATCCCCATCTGCATCCCCCTCGCCCTCCCCATCCCCTCCCCATCCTCACCCCCATCCCCTCCCCGTCCCATCCCCATATCCCCACCCCATCCCATCCCGGTGGGCGCGGCGGGGGCGGAGGCGCGGATCCCCGCCCGCAGGGAGGAGCCGCCGCCGGCGGGCAGCTGCCCCGGGCCATGGTGCGCGCGGCGGCGGCGGCGCGGCGCCGGAGGGAGCGGAGCGGCGCGCGGGGCGGGCGGCGCCGCGCCATGGAGCCGGCGGCGGGCGGCGGCCCCGGAGCCGCAGCCGTTGCCCGCGCCCGGGCGGCGCCGCGGCGGCCGGGGCTGCGCTGAAGCCCCGGAGCCCCCCGCGGCCGCGGCCGCCGCCGTCCCCGCCATGGCGCAGCCCGCGGGCCGCGAGCTGCCGGGCATCAGCACCGTAACGTACGTCTTCGTTTACAGCCCCGGCGGCCCGGCGGGTCCCCCCGGGCCCGGCCCCGGCCCCGAGCCCGCGCCGCACGCCGCGCCCGCCCCGCTGCGCGGCCCCAAACGGAAGCTGTACAGCGCCGTGCCCGGCCGTAAGTTCATCGTGGTGAAGAGCTACGCGCCGCAGGGCGAGGGAGAGATCCAGCTGAACCGGGGAGAAGCCGTCAAGGGTGAGTGCGGCGGGGATGCGGGCGGCGCTGCGGGATGCGGGCGGGGGTCGCGGCGGCGAGGGAGAGCGGCGGAGCGGCGCCGGTGGCGTTTGGCCCCGTGCTTCTGGGGAGGGGATGCGGGGCCGGGCGGAACCTCGGCGGGACCGGGGCCGCCGAGCTGCTGCAGGTTGGTCTGCGGGGTCTTGGGGCGACGAAGGGGGGCCTGGAGCCCGGGATCGGGGCTCAGCAGCGGAGCCGCGGGGCGTGGATGCGGGCATCAGGTGTGGCGCCCAGGTGCGGGGCCTCGGAGCTTTGCTGGGTCCCTCCGAGCACCCCAGGCCCCGGCGCTCGGTGGCAGCTCCGTGGCACTGGCGCCGCGTTCAGTGCTGGGCTGGGAGCCCCAGTGAATCGGACGGCGCTTTGCTGGGGCGGTCTGTGGGCGCTGCTGGGGTGAGTGGCCCCGATCCAAGGCAGTGCCTGAGTGCAGGTGGAGAGGAAACAGCGTCCATGCTGAGCCCCCAGTGCAGCCCCGGCAGTGCGGAGCTTGATGGGAGACGGCGGCTGAGGGGGATGATGGCATCGCCCGGTACGTTGGGCAGCTGCTTGGAAACCTGCTGTGGGCCAGCAATCAGCTTCTTGGGCAGGTAGCAGTGAGAAGAGGCTTCCTCTGCAAGAACCCAATTCCAGCGTTTCACAGAAAGTTGAAGGATCTTCCTCCTTCTTTTCCAGCCCTGGGCTGGAGCTGCTCCCCTGACTGCTCACGTCAGCTCTCCGATCGGGGCGTCGCAGCTCGGGTGCACATGGGAGCTTCAGGAATTGTCCTGAGCTGTGCACACCCACATGGCAGCGGAGCAGGGGGGCTGCAGCTGTGGCCGTAGGTGCGGTGTTTGCTGGAGGAGTCACTGCAGAGATGGGGCTTTTCCCTTCTTCACCCACTGAGCGGTGTTTTCCATCCTGCAATTCTTCATCTCGTCGTGCATTTGCGTTAGGGAGGTGGTCCCGTAGCAGCCTGTAGTGATTGCAGCAGAATGTGTCATTCATGAACTCACCTGTTGCTGCTTGCACACATCTCTGAGCATGGGATGTGGTGCTGGAGAGGGGGGCTGGTTGCATCGCAGCGTGGCTGGGGCTCAGCAGGAGGGTCTCCCATGGTTGCCCTGTGGGAAGGAGCTGCAGGGCAGGTGGGCTGCGTGCTGCTGTTGCGTGCTGCTGTTGTGTGCTGCTGTTTTGCTGCTGGTTTATAGCTAGAAGGACATGGAGTCATGGGCAGGCTGTCCTGGTTTTGCAGGGTGATCATAGAATCATTCAGGTTGGAAAAGACTTCTCAGATCAACAGTCCGACCCCAACCCATCCCACTGCCCACGTCCCCCAGTGCCACATCCCTGTGCTCACTGAACACCCCCAGGGATGGGGGCTCCCCGCTGCCCTGGGCAGCTGTGCAGTGCTGACGGCTCTTTGCAGCACAGGTTGTTCCCAATTCCAACCCAACCCTCCCCCTTGCACCCTGATCCCATCCCCTCCCGTCCCATCCCTGTTCCCTGCTGATGGAGACCAACCCCTCCTTCACTCCAGCCTCCTTTCCCCAGTGGCACAGAGCACTGAGCTCCCCCTGAGCCCCTCTGCCCCATCCCCTCCCCCATAGGACAGCGGGGTGCAGTGTGAAGCAGGGCTGCATTCCAGAGCAATTGCTGTAGGTCCTGCAAGAGACCCAGAGGTCCCTGAGCATTTCCTCGTGTTCCACTTAAGGTTGCACCCCATATTAAAAGCAGGTCGGCTCCTGCCAGGTTCCTGCCATGTCCTGGTGTGATGGGGTCGGTCTCGTGCTGGGTTTGTTGCTCTGGATCTTTCTTTGTTGCCATCCTGTCCCCATTCCCATCCCCTTCCTGTCAGATCCCCATATCCCTACCGCATCCCCACCCCATTCCCATCTCATTTCTTCATGAGCTGTGAGTAGGAATTGGGCTGAAAGGCACAGTGTGGGTCAGGAAGTGAGCATGGCAGTGTGCTGTGACCGTCCTGGTGGCCATTGGGTGACAAAGGATAACGACTGATGCTGATGTTTCATCTGTAAGGCAGCAAAAGCATGTGAGGAGAGGGGAGTCTGTCCTTGAGCTGCTTGTTGCTGGTAATGACAAACAAAATGAGATGTCAGAACCCCAAGCAAGGGGAGAACCGATCGGCACCAGCCTCGGAATAATGCTGAGGTTGCAGAGGGAAGGGTCTCCTTGGCTAAGGGGATTCAGGACAGCAACCTGGGAACAAGGGGAAACCAGGAACACGACGAATGCGCCGGTTCTGGATCTCATTTCTTCACACGTTGTGATCAGGAGGAGTGATTCTCAAGCAACTGTTACTATGTGCACCCAACAGCAAGTGCTCCTCCATGGTGCAGTTCTCGCTGCCGTTCTGTGTTGCAGCATCCTGAGCCGCCCCACGTGGAGGGAACGGCAGCCAGCATTGCTGCTGGTGTTTGTTGGGTGTTACCATGGTAGTTCTCAGCTGCGCTGGGGGTTCAGAGATGGGGTTGTTTTACCTGTGGCTCGGGTTGTTGTAAGGCTGAGTGATCAGCGCTGGTTCCTCTGATTTCCTTCTGCCAGCACGCAGCTCTGGACAGCAGGACCTGGGGGTCCTGGTAGGTGAGGAGCTGCTCAGGAGCCATAGAACTGGGGGATGGTGTGGGTTGGAAGGGCCTCCAAAGGCCGTCTGGTCCCATTCCCTGCAGTGAGCGGGGACCCCCTCAGCTCCATCAGTGCTCAGAGCCCCATCCTCTGACCGTGGGTGTCTGCAGGGATGGGCAGCAGCACCTCTCTGTGCAACTGAGTGGTGCCTCACCTCTCAGCATGAAGCCCTCCCTTACTGGGAGCCTTACGCCTGCCCAGGAGCTGCCCCTTGGGAGCTGCTGAGGTCTCTCCACTGCCACTCTTTTCTGGAAGCAGCTCCAGAACCTTCCAGGCTTTGTGCTTCTGCTGAGAAGACCCCTGAGATCACAGAGTCTGGCTGTAACAGCACTGCTCCCAGCTGCACGGCCATTCATTGCGGTGCCCCGGCCACAGCAGCACCAGGAGCTGCCTCCAAAGAGCTGCACCACGGCTGGAGGGCTGTCCTGTGCTCACAAACCAGCACTCAGTGCTGACTGGTGCTCACCCAGGATCGGTGCGGCCCCATAGGGCTGCGTGTTCCATCAGTGGGGCTGGAGAGCAGCGCCCACCCTGTGCTGCAGTGTTTTGAGGTCCCTCTGATCCCCCCCCCCCCTTCATCCCCCCCCAAGCCCCATTTCTGTGTCACCGTTTGAGGCTGGGTGTCCCCATGAGCACCCAGGGCTGCATTGCTTCACTCTTGGTTCCCCAAATCCCTGTGGCTTTTGGGGATTGGGCTGTATAGGAAAGGACCAGTGGCCCAACACTGGGGTTGAGTGGGAGCCGGGGAGGGTGGGTGGGAGCTGGGGGGCTCCCGGCACCCATTCCAGAATCACAGAATCACCAAGGTTGGAAAAGACCTTCAAGATCACCCAGTCCAACCATCCACCCATCCCCAACAGCTCTCACTAAACCACATCCCTCAACACAAAACCCAAACTTGAGCACCTCCAGGGTCGGTGACTCCACCACCTCCCTGCGCAGCCATTCCAGTGCCTGACCACTCTTTCAGAAGAGCAATATTTCCTAACCTCCAACCTGAATCTCCCCTGGTGCAGCTTGAAGCCATTCCCTCTGTTCCATCCCTGTTACACGAGAGAAGAGGCCGACCCCCAGCTCACCACAACCTCCCTTCAGGCAGCTGTAGAGAGCAGTGAGGTCTCCCCTGAGCCTCCTCATCTTCAGACTGAACAATCCCAGCTCTTTCAGCTGCTCCTCTCCATTGAGCCCACGGATGCTGGTCCCACTGCGTGCATCCATCCAGGCTGTGCTGTGGTGGTCGCAGCGCAGGGCTGCTGGTTGTGGTTGGAAGAGAGAAGAGTTTTCAGGACCACTGGAAGCTCTTGGAGACCTGGATGTGGGATTTCCTCCTGCTGGAAACCTTCCTGTGGAAGGAAAACCTAAGAATGGCTTACGGAGGTTAAAAGGAAATGAATAGAATAAAACCGAAATGTCTTGGGGAGCTGGAAGAACCTATTTTTTTGGAAGAAAAGGGGATTTTGTTGCATGTTTGTGGAACTGCGTGGCCGGGCTGGCAGTGCCTGGCCATGCAATGGAAGAAAGGTCGAGGGAACTGGGATTGTTTGGCTTTGAGAAGGCACCAGGGAGACCTCATGGTGGCCTTCAGTGCTTGAAGAGAGCGGATAAACAGGAGGGGAACGGATGTTTGTGAGGGTGGATGGTGATGGGACAAGGGGAATGGCTTTAAAGTGAGACAGGGGAGGTTTGGGTTGGATGTGAGGAGGAAGTTTTTCATGCAGAGGGCAGTGAGGCACTGGCACAGGTTGCCCAAGGAGGCTGTGGATGCTCCATCCCTGCAGGCATTGGAGGCCAGGCTGGATGTGGCTCTGGGCAGCCTGGGCTGCTGGTTGGCGACCTGCACACAGCAGGGGCTTGGAGCTGATGCTCACCGTGGGCCTTTGCAACCCAGGCCACTGTATGATTCTGTGCTGGGGATGAGGCACAGCTCTGCACCCACTGCAGGCAGTTGGCACGTTGGCAGTGCTGTGCCACAGTGCAGTTCCTCTTTTGGACCCAAGCAGGGCCCCGTCCTGGTGTCCCTTTGTGCAGTCAGCTCAGAGCAGTGCACGGTGAGCTGCAGTCACTGCCTCATCTCTTGAAGCAGAGATGTCTCCAAGGGCAGCCAAGCACAGCCCTTGTTTCCCTTCTGGTTGTTTCACACTGAGTTTCAAAGCAACTGGATTGGTCCCATGTGTGGGATGCTCAGGCTGTTGGCATAGGGGTGCAGCTGCCTTGCAGCTCCTGGGGCTGCGCTGCTGTGGTGCTGCTGGGCGATGCTCTGTAGCAGTGTCACAGAATCACAGAATGGCCAGGGTTGGAAAAGACTTCAAGGATCACGAATCTCCAACCCCCTGCCACAGGCA